TACAGTAGAAGGTCTGTCACATGAAAATGTATAAATTCTTTTTAATTTCTTACACCTGATTACAAAAATATCCTACATATCAGTATATAAGGTAAATATCATTATTTTGGAGCTCTTTAAAACTAATGATCTCAAACAACTAATTTTATAAATACTTAAATCTCAAACCATATTTGAAAACAGTTAACAGCTAGAAATTGTTCATAATCTTTAAAAAAATAACTTTACTATATATTTGTTATAGTATGCTAATGTAAATTTTTAGTATACATATTTTGTTAATTATTGAGTGTAGTTAAAATTAGATTTGCTAAGTTTAATGGAATAATTGGTCGTATGGTTTTACTAAAAGATTTTCACAATGTATTATAATTTGTAATACCATATTTCACTCAATTTGTCTACTGGTTAACAGCTTATAAATTAGTAAACATATTTAATTACAAATCTTTGACCATTAATTTAATAGTTAAAAGACTTATTTTTAAATTGCTTTAATTTATTTTTAAATGCACTGTAAAGCTAATATTATAAATTGATATAAATAAGAGATGTAAGTATGTTTCGATTGCAACATATACTTTATAAATTATTAAAACTTTTGTTAAATTAAGTGAAAATTAAAATATGTTGCACACAGTAATGTTTTAGATTGTCATTTATATTAATTCTAATTAAAATATTATATATGTTTGCTTATTATGTAATAGGTATTAAAAATGAAAATTATATTTTTACAATTTATGTATCAAAATTATATTATCATCAATTTTAATTGATAGCATTATAGATTTTTGAGCATATAAATTAAACATTTATAACACAATTTATAATATCTAAATATTTGACTAACGTTAGCTTATACCATCAATACAAAGTTCGGTAGTCTTAACCACATTTTATTAGTTTATTTGCTTAATTATAGAATTATCACTATTGGTATAAGCTACAAATCATAAACTTGATCATTATACCACGAATATTTTCTATACTAATATGGATGTTAAGTGACAAGTTATTTGTAATTATTATTTGATAATTCAAAATAAATTCTTACTTCATTTTCTCTAATTTAAAAATAATTATTTCAAATAGTGCTTGTATATACTGTTTCATTATAATATGTAAATCAATTCATAAATTAAATTATTTATTTCAAATAATTTACTTGTAATATTTCCTGAATTTTATTTTAAAATACACCACACATTAAGAATACATAATTCTTAAATTAATGTTAAATATATTTTTAATATCTTTATTAAATTTTAAATGTTTATGTATAATCATATAAATAATACCATTATTAATGCAATTATAATTTTGTTTTATTAATACACAAAACGTTACAACAAATTTGATATATTGTTGGAATAAATAGAGTTGAGGCCAAACAAAATATATGGATTTAAAGTTCATTTAGAATTAACAATTAAGATTATAGGTTAGAAACAGTTTTATAAATACACAAAAAATACGGTATAAATTACATTATATTTCATATAATTTTATATTTTAATTAATATATAATTCGTTTTTAATAAAACATTAAAAATTATGTTTTTATAACAATAATACATACATAATACACATTTAAAAATTCCACTAAAAATTACAGTAATTGAATATTTGTAATTCACAGAAATAAATTTATAATAATTTACAAATATAAAGCATTAGACAAACAATTTTGATGACATAAACATTTCATTGTTTAATAAATAAATAATGAAACAAAAGAAAAAATATTAAAAAGAGATTTTTATTGTGAGTCTGAATTCACACGTTTAATGATAGCGTAAATGAATGAACGGTTAAATTTCTATTTCTATGTCTATTTGTCCTTTAATTTTGATATATATTCACATTAGTCTACAAAGACTTTTATTGTTATAAATAAATTGCATGTCAACGAGTTTTACGAAATCATACCAAAAATGTTGATGTATTATATAGAATTTTTAGTTAATTTAGTTAAATTAATATATATTAAAGGATTTGTGTTTAAAAATACAACTTTTTGTACGTCAGCTTCAAATGGCAAGACCTCTGATTTTTCAATTTAATATTGTTTTCAAATAAAAAATTTTCAAATCAATTAAACTCTCGAAAACATGAATCAAAAGAAAGATTTTGTTGAGAAGAGAGAAAGTCAGAGAGAAAAGTGAAAACTAAAGAATATATCGACGACTATATAAATGGGATAATAGTTTCTAAACGACTGAAATGAGAATAACAACCAAATGAATGCAAACAGAGACAAACAATAGACTTGAGTTGAGCTCAGAAACCATTTCCTCAATAAATGAAAAGATAATTTGATCGGAAAATGAATCGCCTTTTTAACGCTTTCCCCATTTCTGTGAAATTGGAAATAAATGAAAATGTTGAGAATAGTGATCAGGGACAATCAGGGACAACATATGACTGGGTGTGCAAACCTGGAATAATCCAAGCCTTTGACAGCGACAGTTAGTGCCCCATAGGTTGCATCGACACACTTATCAATGAAAGGTCAAGAGTTCAGTATTCACTCGATTGCAGACTATTGTTACATAATATAATGGATTGAAGTAATTGTTAGAGTTATACCTGATTTTGGACAGCAATCGTTGGGTCTGTGATCACAAGTACCACTCCTTCGGATACAACTCCGTTTGTCAGTCAATATATTTTGCGGACTTTGCAGTAGAGTTTCGAGGGCTCCTCCATAATAATCATCCGCCGATGAGTCGGACTCTTCAGACAGAAATGTGTGGACACCAGAGATAACGAGTATTAAAGAAAAACAATGTTTTTATAATAAATATAACAAACAATTGGTTGGCAAACGAGTGCAACAAAAAAGCAACACTTATTAAAGCAGTTTCTGATCGCAAGTCGAGTCCAATAATTATATTGCTTTTGTATTGACAGCAAAGATCAATACAGCAAACTGTTGATTAATACTTATCAAATATTTACCTGTTTTTAGAAACTTGTGTTCATTTTCTCATTCAATTATTATATAAGTATTATAATTATTTACCGAGTAAAATTTACTTTACTGTTATAAAAATATCTCATTCCTTATTATTTGTTTTTATGTAAATACTGTTCAAATCAAATATGAATTTAAGTAAATGTCAAACCAACCAAGTTAAAACTTAATTATAAAACAATTGAATATATTTAGTTAGTAGTTGACATTTATACAGCATATGTCAACTAAAACATATGAATAGTTATATTCTTTGAAAATTTTAGAAATTTAAATTAATCGTTTTAATTATATTTATAATATCATTGAATTTAAATGCCAAATGTATCATATAAATTGATTTGTAATGTTCTAGTATATGATAGTATAGAATAAGAGAATTGTATTTTATATTTGGCACAAATCCTTACGTAACATATGTTACAAAACACATGAATAATATCCATATCATGAATAAATATGAAACAAAGAATATAGAAAATTTGAAAATTGCTTTAAATTAAATAGCAATCATTAATTCATTGTTATCAAGTTAAATTTAGTATTTAAAATTTGTACTTGTTCATAAAATTAACTATTTAATTCGCAGTACAATATAAATATTATTTATTTATTTAAACTATAACATTAAGGCAACCCTTATATAGCTATAAATAAATAACCAGTAAATTGAGAAAAGAATTGATAATATAATTACCTTCACTAGCATTAGTTTGAATTGTAATTAATAATAAAACAAATATTAGCGATAATATCCAGTAAATTTGGTTGAATTTCATTTTTATCCTTATTTTAAAATTGAATAAAATTTAAATATTGTGTTTGATTGTAGAAATTTCACGCAGTGTGCTTCAGACAATTGTAATGACTTCTGGAAATACACGAATTGATATTTCAAATAAATTCAATCACATTACATGAGACTTATTTATGAATATTACATATATTAGCGGCTAATGAAGTATTGAGTATTTGGTGCCACAAATCAAGAATATATTCAACTGAATGTTAAATTCAATTCTTCAGTATATTCTGTACTCTATTCCGTGAGTGCAGTCTATGTTGTCATGCGTTGAACA